AATGTGGAATGACCTACCAAGCACTACCAGAACAGGGGAGACCTTATCGATTTTCAAGAATCGCCTGAAGACCCTGCTCTTCAGAGAGCATCTTCTAAACTAGCACCCTCCCTGCACCCGTCCCCCACTACTGTCCACTCCTTGTTCCCTTCCCTTTATGGTCCATTATGCTGCCTCACTGCCACCTAGGATTGACTGATTAGTGATTGTTGTTGGCCTCAAGGGCGACCTGCTGGCTTCAGTATCACTTAAGTCCCTTTGGACAAAAGCGTCCCATGGAGTCCGCTTCCTCATGACCTCAGATGTGACCCTTCTAGAAACTTTTAAATCAAAATGAAGTGAAGGTTCCTTCTGCTGCACTGCAACTGCTCAGCCTTTTGTCTGATCTAATCTCACTTTATTTGTGTTTATTAACTTTGATTCTGTAATCTGCTGTTTTATGTTGTTCACACACACACACACACACACACACACACACACACACACAAACACACACACACAGCTTTTAATGCTTTATGGTCTTGCTACTGGAAAGCACATGGAATTGCGTGTGTGTGTGTGTGTGTGTGTGTGTGTGTGTGTGTGTGTGTGTTTAACTACCCTTCCGCGACCATCAGACCTTCATTCTCCAGAGCCGTCTCCTTAATAAAGTCATGATGAGACTGATGGATGTTCTCTAAGCGGAGCGGAAATAACAGTTCGCTGCTCGAGGCCAAAAGGTCAAAAACAACATTTTGTTTACTTTATGAAAGAAGACTGAAGTAAAGGACGCTGCCCTCTGCTTCAAGTTCGTTTTGATCCACACACACACACACACACACACACACACACACACACACACACACGTGTCTGGGTCTGATGTATGGATCTCATTTGTCTCCGAGCCTTTGCTGTTAAACGGATAACATGGGAAGCATGTTCCCGGTGTTCCGGATAGAAAAGTCATAATTCAGCCAAACATCTGGCGGGAAAAATGCTCCAAGCTGCTGTTTGTTTCAACCCCTACATTTCCTACATGGGTCAGCTACATCATTTTAATTATGAACTTTTTCCTTTTATTTTCTTAAAATGTTGTTTTTGTTCCGAAAGTTTACTCCGACCGCCTTATTCTAACAAAAACATTTACTTATTCTGTGACTACTTCTGATTTAGGACTTAAAGCATCATTATGGAGGATGCTTTAAGTGGGAGAAGGAAGTTGACGTGTCGGAGCAAAAATAAGGTTTCACCTAGACGGGCGAGTCGGTGAAGGTTATTAGTCACACCTGTGAGTCCAAGTGTCTGCTGGAAAGGTCAATTATGCCTCAGGACCTGCAGGTCGGAGGTTTTTTCTCCGTGTAAGATTTATTTCCCACTTATTTCTTCTTTTAGCCAAAGGCATTGTCACATCTAGCAGGCTGAGATATTTTGTGATGCAAATGAAGTTCTGCAGCTGCCAGTTCCTTCTGAGGACATCAACACTTTCCCATTAAAAGCACTAATTATGCGTGATAGCCAAAGGCGAGGTTTCCTTCTGACGGCACGAGGGAGTGATCAGTTTCTGTTCTTAAAAAATACAGTTTGATCAATCAGAGCTGATAAATGTCTTTGAGATGTTTGAAGGGTTGTTATTCCGAGTGGCATCAGCGTGCCAGGCTGGCTCAGCATTAAGCCTGCCTGATGACACCAGAGTCACAGAAAATTATGCGTTTCATATTTGTTTCAACACAGAAGTCCCACAAAAGGTCATTTACTAAAAAAAATGTACATGTTGGAAACTAAATTGGATTCCTCTTACGTCTAAAGGTTCAGGTTTAACCACGGCCTTTATTAGAGGGAATCACTTCCACATCAGGATTTGTGCGTTTTAGCACCTGAACGATGAACGAGTGATTATTAAACATCTTCAGAGTAAAGACGGCTCTGCTTGGAGCAGCGTAGCTCAGGAGGGTTGTCCAGTACTCAGAAGGTTGCAGGTTCGATCCCAGCTCCGACCAGAAAATAATGCCATTGTGCTCTTGGGCAAGACACTTAACCCACCTTGCCTGCTGGTGGTGGTTGTAGGGACCGGTGGCGCCAGCGTTCGACAGGCCTGGCCTCTGTCAGTGCGCCCCGGGGCAACTGTGGCTCCATCGTAGCTCATCCTAACCCACCAGTAGGGATGGGTACCTTTGACATTTGAATCGATTCGGTACTAATTCCCGATACCTAGGAATCGATACCGGTACTTAACGGTACCAATTTTAGATACTTTTGAGTGTTTAATATTTTAATTCTCTTTTATAATTAAATATATATTTTTCTCAATTTATAACCATATTTGATAAATATCACGATAAATAACATACAACTGTTTGTATTTTAACATCGTCCTTGTAGTTTTATAAGCTGATAATTAAACTGAAGCAAACATCTTTACTGTGAACTAAATTTACTGTGTATCTTCATTCCTTTTGCCGTCCTTTTTCTTTGATTTTTCCTACTGGGAAGTTAGAATTTCCAAGGAAAAAGCGAATGCACCATTAGCTGATAACAATGGTGGCAATGGAAGCTAACATATCAAGCTAACGTTATCTTAAACCGTTTATTTAGCTGCTGGAGCAGATTTAAACGATGATGCCTCACACTTAGATCGTTGTCGCTGGTTTCATCTTCACCCAATCACCCGTCGCATTTAGTAAAGTGAAGCCAAACTTTAGAGCGCGTTCATGTTCTTCTAGTCGGAAATTTGGAGTTCCGAGGAGAAAGCGAACGCACCATTAGCGGAACGGAAGCTAACAAATCAAGCTAACGTTATCTTAAACATTTTATTTACCTACCGGAGCAGATTAAGATGAGGATGTCACACTTAGATCGTTGTCGCTGGTTTCATCATCACCCAGTTACCCATCACATTTAGTGAAGTGGACCCAAGCTTTAGCGTGCGTTCTTTCTACCATGCTGCTCTGTTTACAACTGGCTCTCAGCGACCAACGACATAACACTCTTGCGCATGCGCAGCTGTCTAGCCAAGTTCTTGTTGTGAAGGACGGGTACCGAAACGAGGCACCGTTTCAAATGACGTGAATCGGTGCTCAGTCGGTACTATGGAATTCAGTCGGTACCTTAAAAAGTACTAAATTCGGAACCCATCGCTACACACCAGCGTGTGAATGTGTTGTGAAGCGCCTTGGGGGGTTGTAGAACCTTAAGAACTATACAAATAAAGGCCATTCATCATTTACACTGCTCATGTTGTCCTTCTAATAATCAGACCAGAATATCCTAAAATAATTTTTATGTCTTGAACTGAAAATATAATTTACTTACCGTCAGCTACGTCAGCCCAGACAAGAGCAGAGCAAATAGAGAAAGAATAGAGGATAATTGTGTCTGGATGTGGATGGAGATTACATTTTACAGCAGCCTGATCGTCATTTAAATACATAACCCATCACCTGCTAGTCCACGCTATCAGCATTATTTTAATTGGTGTGTGTGTGTGTGTGTGTGCACGCGTGTGCGTGTGTGTGTGTGTGTGTGTGTGTGTGTGTGTGTGTGTGTGTGTGTGTGTGTGTGTGTGTTTTCCACATCAAACACTGGTCTAACCAACCAGACCAGCGTGTCCAGTAACACATTAATGTTACAATTAAACAGTTTCTCTTCATGTAGGCTAGGAACGTTTCACCTGCCGTGGCCCGACCGCTTCTGCTCCACATAAACTTTGTGCGTGATCAAATGTCTCTACAGGTGCTTTCTGAGCTGAAGAGGCTATTCTGCCTCGGACTGGATGCGTCTCCATATTAGAGCTGGGAACAAGCGCTGTTCAGCCAAAGTTTCATAATCAGAGAACATTTTTCCAGGTGACACATCCCTCAGAGAGACCGGGTTTCTCATTCTTTCAAAACAACCAACATCCTTGAGTTAATCCGTCAAAATAAACAGTCAAATATCTGTAACCTGCCATTTAACTGTTTTACCTTCTTGTGAAGATTGTTGCAAAGAGAAACAACTAAACCTGATTAACCCCAGAGCCACGCGCACTGCGCTGTACTGACTGTAAATGAGAGGGAAACGATTTAATCGGATCCTTTTCTTTTCAACATGGTTTAATGTAAAGTTTCATTCAGTACAAACTTTAGTTACACCAATCTAACGAGACAGAGCCTGGATTTGTATTCTGAACAGTTTAAACATGTTTAAAACGGAGACATGCGTGACGCGTCTAAAGTTCGCACCTGCTCCGCTATTATGGAAATTAAACTAACAAGATGAATAACATCAAATTATTTTAGGCACAGAAAACATCCCCCACACTTTTGAAAAGCTTGCAACGCGCCTGGCTCTGGGTGTTCTATCTTTTAAATACTGGAGCTTTGATGAAGACTTAAATATTAAAGTAAAAGTATTAAACTTTTTATTGCAAAATCTATAGATTATTTTAGTTGAGGCTGTTCATTTTAAGTTCAGTCCAGTATTCCATAAAAAATAAGATTAAAATTCACTCCCATCATTAGTCTCATTTTTAAAAATAACAATTTTATCAGTCAGACAGAAAACGTTTTTGTCTTTTCTTTTTTGCAAAATAATAAAAATGCATCTCTTTAAGGAACAAAACAAAAAATAATCATGGAAGAGTAAATGTCTGGAACCCCATGAAGGTAAAACAGAATCCAAGAGGCGCTCTGGCGACACCTGCTGGCCACTGTTAATACTGATCCTCCTTCACGTTATCAAACTAAACCCCGGAGAGCTGTGAGGATCATACATGACGCAGATTACGTAATTTCAGAGGATTAAAGAGCTCGTTCTGGGTTAAAATTAGATTATTTAGCCAGCTCGTTTTGGCTGACGTGCACGAGACAAGTTGTCTCTAAACAAATTCTCATGTTTCGGTAAATGTTTTATTTCCTGTGTTTTGGGCACACGTGAGCTGACATTTTAAAAGTCTGATTAATTATTTTGCTTCTCCAGATTTTTGGTGACTCGTTCGGGTTAAAAGTTGAACGCATCCGGTCAGAAGTGAAACCGGAAGATCTGACCTTTGTCGCGCGCTGGTTCGGTAAACTCTGAGTCAGCTGATTCTGGATCAGCGGCGCTTCTCCCTCCTCCTTCCCCTCCGCTCCTCTTCACGGCGGTGCGCTCCAGACGCGCTCCCACTCCGGGATGGGCTCCTCTCGGTCTCCCTCTGTGACGCCGCCTGTAGTTTAGTGGGAGTTCCCGGAGGAGGGAGCGAGAACCGGTCCGTTCCGTCTGCGGTTCTGATCTCTGATTGAACAGACCTCTCCTCGGCTGCGGGACCAGAAATGGGGATGCATTTGCGTCTGCTGCTCCTGCAGTGTTATTTCGTCTCGAGTTTTGTGTGCAACGCCGCCGCGTTCGTGGAGGAGCCCTCCGGAGGGAGGTCGGACGGGTTCTGCGGGCGGATCCTCCGGGCTCAGACGCAGGGGACCCGGAGGGAAGGGCACCATGAGTTCAGGCTGAGAGTGGAGGGGGACCCGGAGACTTATCAGCCTGGAAACACATACCGAGGTAGATGTTTAATCCCATCTGCTAGAGCGCACGTCCGTGCGTAAAATCGCGCCAGATTAAAGTCATTATTATCAGGTTGAAGCAGAAATGGTCAACTTCCTGTCGGATTTAGTGAAACATTTGGACCACAGTGTTCAAACAGCAGCTGTTTTTATTTATTTATTTATTTATTTTTAGTTCCAGGGTCCCAAAGCTGCTTCTGCTGAGGATTTAAATGTTAGAATAAAATCGTTTCCCCATCACTGGTCTGGTTTCAGTTGGACTGAACAAAATCCACGTTCCCACCAGAGTTACTGTAGGTTTTAGGGTTCTGTTGCTGAAGCGAAGTTTGAATAAACTTATTTTACTAAAGCCTCTAAACCAAACCTTGACAGAAAGCCTTCCTGCTTCCTGCTGGGATCGGATCACATCCCATCTTTACTTTAACAGAACCTTGACTCGGACACGTCGAGTCTGAAGCATTCACACAATCTAACGAGACAAAAGTTCAGATCCGGCTGCAAACCGAGAGAGGTGACATCCTCATCAGGACCAGGAGGAAAGGGATTGATGGAGAAATAAAAATGTGATCGCTGAAAGAGCTTATCAGAAGCAAGACCCCCCCCCCCCCCCCCCCCCCAACCACCTCAGGGGTGGAGATGCAACGCCTGTTTAATGCTCCGTTTCTGTGTGAACCTGATGCACTCTCACCCTCCTTACAGTGGTCCTCCAGGCAGCCAGCCCCTCTTACTTCAGAGGCTTCACCCTCATCGCGCTGAAGGAGGGCAGAGAGGGCACCGCCGATGAAGACTACGCTGGCCGGTTCCAGGTGAGCCCAGGCAGGGATGTGGCGAGGAATCTGCATACCGAGCGTGTGAAAAGAGGAGCTCGTTTGCACGCTTTAATGCACATTGAAGTTCGCTCAGCTGCTCCCTGCTGTCTTCTGAAGTGGAGGTTGTAGGAGGTGTTGCTGATGGATACTATAGGTGGAGAACAGAATCTAGATGATGCTTCAGGCCCTTTCAGAAATCCTGCTGCACGTTTCCTGCAGAGGAGGATGTGGAAAAGAAGCGTGTAAGAACAGAGAAAAGGAGTAAACAGAAAGAGAAATGCTGGTTTCAGTGGAGCTCTCGCCGAGCAGCAAGAGCCAGCCGTTCCCAATTAGCTTCCTCTCAGTGTAAACAGGAACACACACGTGTTCCTCCACACACTGATTCTCACCAGACTCACAGCAAACAGAGGAAGACGCTGCTTTTCTCCGGCCACCAGCCTAAAGAGAAAGCTTGAGCAGGTTTTACTGCCTGACCTCACAACATAAACACTCGGGTTTGAGATCGTTTACATCCGCTTGCTTTCCCTCCAGCTTCCCGAACGGTAGTCGAGTCTCAGTTCACCGGAAAAGCAAATCCAAAAGCGTCATCTGGAGCAGCACAGGAAACAAACGTTTATCAGACACAGATGCCAACAGATAAGTGACGAAAGCTCAGAGAGACAACAAAAATAGAAGTTAAATCGTAACTAAGAGGGCTTTGATTCCTGGGAATTTCTCAGACGTTAACTGGGAAGTTGATGGTCGGCCGTGTTTTCTTTGTGTCAGCTCAGATCGGAAACAGCTGCTGAGTGACATCACAGGTCTGGAGGTGATTACACGCATAAAAATCTTATTTAGGCAACAAAAATGGACATAAAATGAGAACATAAGTGGTTTTAGAGGACGTGACAAAGTCGAGTCTCCTGTTTTAAATTCACACGTTTTAAACAGACGAGTGAGTCTGTGGTCGGTGTTTATTACCAACACGTTTGTTGATGTTTGGGACATCTGTGTGAGGGGGGGCTTCGTCTACCCGCTGGGAGCCAAACGTGCAGGTTTCTGACCCTTACAGCTGATATGGAGGAGTTATTTATCGTTCATGCAAGTCATAAGTTCATCTGTGAGGAAATGTAGAAACATAGATGCTGTTTCCATGTCAGCAGATTTCGTAGCAATGCACAGAAAACTTCAGTAGCAAACATCAGGTTGTCCTAAAAGAGTTTTTAGTTTGTACTTTTCTAAAAATTACACTTAAAGAGGCATTATGGAAGTCTGACAGCCAAAACATGTATAGAGATAATAAATGTCTTCTTCATACATTCTCCTGCAATGCCCTGGTCCTGTAGAATGAGCCCTGGCATTTTTACTGTGATTGCCTGTTTTTCTGTAAAATCACAGAAAAAGAGAGATGCTCGGGTCGAGCAGGCTGCTTCATGCGCGTTCACGCTCAGGCATCGCCCGTAGCATTTGCTATCCGTAGCTTTAGCAGCAGAGAGAGAGGCAGTGCCACTTTGTCGCTGTTCCTAACGCCTAGTGACAAAGCTAGCTACATTTCTGAGGACCCTTAGCTACTTTCTGTAGAACTTTCTTCTAGATATTTCCTGCTAATTAGCAACAAAATAGCCATTTTCACTCCGAACCGTTCTTTGGTTTGACGTTGTTTCAGCTGTCATCAAGGATATAAATGTTACAGAAAGGACATCACTGGTGCTTTAGCTCACCTAGTAAGACGTTGGACTCTCATGCAGAAGACCTGGGTTTGATTCTGGATGTGAACATAGTTTATTTAGAGTTTATTTTTTACATTAATGGTATATTTTTTACAGTAAGATGCCCAAATTTTTATTTGAGATTCGCCGAACGGCATTGAATTCACAGATAAAAAAGATGTGGGTTCAACTTTCATTTTGGAACAATTTTTCAAGCAAGGGAAGGGAATGATCTGAGCATGCAGGAGGACTGACCCATCATAAACCTTTGTCGGCTGTGCTGAAGAGAAAGGTACAGAACCACATTATTTCATTAATTAGCTGCGCGTTCTTCTGTCCTCTGGGCCACACGCACACACACACGCACGCACGCACGCACACACGCACGCACTCACGCACGCACGCACGCACGCACGCACGCACGCACGCACGCACACACACACACACACACACACACACACACACACACACACACAGAGGACTGTCTCAGCTGTTATTTTCGTTAAGGAGTGTGCACGTACAGCATGCGCGCCTCGTGCACGAGCCTACTATTGAAGCTGCCGTTATGCTTTTGGCTTGAGGGGGCAATCGCGAGCATAAAAATTCAAAAGTCCAAAAAGTCCCTTTAACGTGCATCTCATGCCTTTAGTTTTCAAATCATACAAGATCCAGTAAAAACGGGGCTCATGCACAACTTTTCTGCTTTATTTTCTTAGAAAACTAAGAGATTTCCGGTTAAAGCACATATAGTCTAAACTATGCATAATGATTAATTCCTTTACTTGCAGTGTTTCCTTTTTATTCCTGAAACAGTTTAAAGGGATACTTTGCAATACTTTTCTTGAGCCAGTATGCTAAAATGACCTTTTACAGGATTAATGAAAGGCCACCCAGCCCCTATTCCCCCCGTGGCTAGATAATTTCATCAGCAGCGTCAGAGCCGGTCTGTTGGGAGCTGACATACCTGGTGCTGCAGTCTGCTTCCAGCATGTTTTAGATCATGAACACAGCTGATTTGTTTAATTTAGTGATGAATCGCTCCTGTAGACATTAATGAATGCTGGGAGACATTTCAGCTTTTAGATTAAGGTGTTAAAAAGACGAACGCACAGCGAGGAGGGGGGTTTTGTTTTTTGTTCTACAAACGGACACTAGGGGGTGCTAGAAACAAGTAAAACTGCCTAGAATCGCTTTAAATCTCAAGTGAGTTTTCATAACAGCCCCAAGGTTCCTGAAATCAATTTTTATTAAAAATGTAGAAAAAAGATGGAATCACTTACCAAGGTTGTGGAAACCACAGGAACATTATAGAGGGGTTGTTTAGTTATTTATTGTTAGTGAAATTGTTGACTCAAACACAGCTGCACTCACCATGATAAACAGTTTATAGATACGTTAAACAGTAAAATAGCAACATCTGAGCTCTGCATGCTTGAATTTTCAGTCACTTATTAGAAACATGCTGTTTTTTGGCTTCAGAAACTAATAAAAATGAATGTAAAAGGCCAGCCATAATGTTTTTGCCTGTGTAGAAAGTAGTCACTAAATGCGACTAGATCATGAAGCATGATGGTTGCAGGTTTGAATCCCGGCTGCAGCCTTCCTGCATGCATTTAGCACATTCTCCCCAAGTATTCGTGGATTTTCTCCCTCAGGCCAAAAACATGCAAGTCAGGTTCATTTGCAGGCTCGGTAGTGTGCGGCCTCCACGTGCCCGTAAGACCTCCCCACACCTGAGCATGCTCCTGATGAGGTGGTGGACGGTCTCCTGAGAGATCTCCTTCCAGATCCGGATCCAACTCCTGGACAGTCTGTGGTGCAGCATGGCCTTGGTGGATGGCGACGCATGATGTCCCAGTCGCTCAGTTGGATTCAGGATGTCCAGGATGTTGCAGAAAGCAGAACGTTTTCCACGGCGCCTCCAGACTCCGTCATGTCTGTCACGTGTGCTCGGTGTGAACCTGCTTCCATCTGTGAAGAGCGCAGGGTGCCAGGGGTGAATTTGCTCATCTGGGTGTTCTCTGGCAGATGCCAAACATCCCGAGCACAACCCCCACCGGTGGATGGCGGGCCCTCAGACCACCCTCATGGACCGTTCGAGCAGACCCATGCACGTTTGTGCCCTGCTGGAAGTCATTTTGCAGGACTCTGGCAGTGCTCCTCCTGTTCCTCCTTGCACGCCTGACATTCTCCCAATCCTCGTCTGGACCATCCAGATGTTCACTGGTAAACTTTAGACGGGACTGGACATTTGAGACCTCTGGAGCTCTGCGAGATTGTAACTCATGACGACGTAGCGCGTTACCAATAGCAACCTTTGTTACTGGTCCCAGCTCTCTTCAGCTCATTGACCAGTATCGGCACCGATACGATACCAATACCAGTATCGGTATCGGGTAAAAGTTTACCGATACCAGGAACCGATACCAATGCAGTTGCTTGAAAATGGTTTCACTGTAACTTGTCATTTCTGTTCATCTAATATTTTAGTTTTGTGATGACTTCCATTCATATATTTTACTTTTTATCTACCTCACAGTCTTTTCCTGTTGAAAGCAGAGAAGAAAATAAAATCTGTATTCCAAATCATTGCATTTTTTTGTGTGGTAGAAGTATCGGTATTGGTAATCGGTATTGGTGAGGACCCAGATCCAAGTATCTGTATCGTATCGGTTTGGAAAAAAGTGGTATCGTTGCATCCCTAGATCGTGCCTGGAGCCCCAGGTGGAGGGAGATTGTCTGAGATTTTACATTTATTTGTTCTCACCAAGCTGCTTGCCTCTTGTAGACTCGCTCATCCCAGTCTTGTGCAATTCAAGTTAATATTCATTGTGTTTTTTTGTTTGTTTATTTAGATGTTTGATAATCTAAATCTCTGATTTAAGTCCTATAAATATATTTTAAACAATATCCGAACATTAGACTAAAGGTTATTAACTCACTGCCTGAATTAACGGCTTTGTGGGAAACTTCTGAGGATTTATTTATTTATTCAGTCACTCGTTTCCTTTCAAAGGCTCCAACATTGAACTTCCTCTCATTTCCTGCGTTCTTAATAAAGCCTTCATTTCCTGGCAGAGTTCAGAACCAGCAAGTGGAGGACGGATGGGTTTTTTATTGCTTACATTTTAATAAATATTCAGTTTTCAACAATTCCTTGCAAATAATTAACCGACAGTAGCGCAGAAAAAGAAACGAGGCAAGAATTAAAATACGAGTCAAAGAAGAAGAAACGTGAATGGTTTGAACTCTTTGTGTGCTCGAGTGTAAAATTGTTTTCTGAAGTTTTAGAAGATAATTGTGGTTTTG